TGGTTAGGTCCTAATTTTAAATCGATTACAAATAGTAATATATGAATAATTTAAATCTTTAATCGTGTTTCTTAGTCGGAACTTACTTGTCATCATGTCACTAACTTCCTTAACCTTGTCATCATGTCCTAACTTCTTTAACCTTCCGGCACTGGGCAGTCATTAGCCCCCGTACATGATCTTAAGATTTTGTGGAGCTGAGTAATACTCTTACGTGAATAAGCATATCAAATAAATGGTCAATTTTTTTAAAAACACCAAAGTTTTCAGAATTTATGTGGAGCACAAATTGCGAATTTCAAAATTGATTTCGATTCGATTATTGTTGCTGCTGTCGTCGTAATCATCATCATAATTATTACTATTATTACTTCGTATTATTATTTTATTATGTTTGATACTACTCTTCCTCTAAACAGAATGGGTGAATTTAGCTTGCTCACTACCTCACTCTATACATGACAATCTAAAAAGGGTGACACCTCATCCCTGAGGGTCCCCAAAATTGACTAAATATTTTTTTGGTAGGATGTAAGTTGAGATTTGATCATACTCTGATGAAAAGAGAGTGAAATTCTGTTAGGGATGACAATGGGGAGAATCAGGGACGGTTTTAGATATAACCCCGTTCCGTTGGGTAATTCCCAGTCTCGTAACCGGCCCATTACGCAATGAGAAATTTTTACTCAAACCATAACCGCCCCAACGGATAACGGGTATAACCGCAGGTAATCGCTTTATTAAACGAGTTATTGATTTTTAAAAATAATATTTTAAAAGGCAAAAATGGCAACGCCTACATTACTCTAGACGTCATACGCCACTTACAAGTTGTGTATATCTACAAGACGAGAAAGAAGACAACCTAAATTAATTTGTACCTAAAAACCTTAATCTGAAAAACCATTAATCACAAAAAAAAATCTGATAATATTAATCAAACAAGACTATTAAAATCTATTATGAAATTTCATCCATACACCATAGTTAGTACATTTATTATCCACATATACACCATGAAAAGAGAAAAATCTCATCTTTTATTAGTTGTGGGACAAATAATAGATAAAAATGCAATAAAAGTATAACTAAAAATAAACGGGGCGGGTATGAGACGGGTAATGGGGTAGGCATGTATAAAACTGCAACCGCCCCGTTACTCGTAAAAACAAAATGGATATTCAATTCCCCGCCTCGTATCCTTACCCGGACAATGTAGTTTTCCCCGTTTTGACCAGGACGGTTCGATGCGGGTATCCATCAGATCGGTCACAATTATCATTCCCAGTTTCCATCCCAAATCATTGCATAGAGTTGAACGTAAGATCTCTTCCTCATGGCACCCTCTTCCTACCAGGTCAGCTATGTCCCGATGCTTTATGTTAGGTATTGTATGAACCCGCCTCCAACAAATAATAATCTGAGTAATATTAACCATTACACCAACAAATAACTAAAAAATGGTAACAGCGGCGGTACTAGTAAGTAATAAACACATTTCACAATCATCGTCATTATAATCATTATAAATATTAGTATCATTATTATTATAATCATTATAACTATTAGTAGTATTATTATTATTACTATAATTACTGCTACTACTTACTACTATGACGGTTTTGATCTGATTTTTTTTACTAGTGGTTTTGATCTGATATGAAGTAATATCATTGTCCCTTTTCAACTTTTGTCCAAGGATAAAACAATTGCTATGAATGGGTCTTTACTTGGACTGTTTTCAGTCTCAGATCAGACTAGACCAAACTTAAACGGACAAGATCAGATCAGACCAGCAAATTACAGTCCAAGTAAAAACATCATTACTTTAATGGAAATATTAACGGATATATGGACAACTATTTCAATACAACAACAACAACATCCAAGCCTTAGTCCCAAAAGATATTGGGGTCGGCTAACATGAATCGATACATGATATCACAACCAAAAGGAAAAGCAAAAATAAAGATAAAAAAGATAAGCTATTATAAAAAGATAATATAAAAAGAGATGAATATACATAAAAATGATGAAATGAAAAGGCTACAAATAATGCTTATATATTAAGAATAAAAAACAAGGGAAAAAAAAGATGAGGGAAAAAGATTATACGAGATCACTCCTTCACGCGAATACCCGCCCTCCACTTAGTTCTCTCCAAAGTCATGCCCTCATCCAACCCCAGAAGAAGAATATCACTTCGAACTCCCCTAACTCACGTCTGTTTAGGTCTTCCTCTCCCTCTCTTCCCTGCCTTTTCTCCACACATCTCAACTCGTCTGACAGGTGCATCACTCGGTCTTCTACGCACATGACCAAACCACCGTAGGCGCGACTCCCGCATCTTGTCTTCAATAGGTACTACTCCCACCCTTTGTCTGATTGGCTCATTCCTCATGCGGTCCTTCCTAGTATGCCCACACATCCAACGCAGCATGCGCATCTCTGCCACACTCATCTTTTGAATGTGACATTGTTTCACCGCCCAACACTCTACGCCATACAGTAATGCAGGCCTAATGGCTGTCCTATAAAATTTACTCTTCAGTCTAGTCAGCATACCTCGGTCGCATAGACATCCTGACGCACTCTTCCACTTCATCCACCATGTTCTGATTCTATGGGATACATCTTCATCTAACTCATCGTCCTTCTGAATTATGGAGCCCAAGTAACGGAACATATCGCTGACTGGTATCTCCTTATCATCCAGAGTAATTCCGCTATTACCACTGCTTCTACCTCCACCAAACTTGCACTCCATGTACTCTGTCTTGCTCCGACTTAGTTTGAAACCCTTATTCTCCAATGTTTGTTGCCATACTTCCAACTTTGCTTTAAGACCTGATTGCGTCTCATCAATCAATACAATATCGTCGGCAAACATCATGCACCACGGTATATCGTCTTGAATTGACTTCGTAAGTTCATCCATGACTATGGAAAATCAGAAAGGGCTCAAGGCCGATCCTCTGTGCACTCCGATAGTAATAGGGAACTCTTCAGTCCCCCCTACACTAGTACGGACACTTGTAGTACAATCCTCATACATATCCATGATGATGCTGATATACTTGCGTGATATGCCTTTCCTAGTTAAGGCCCACCAAAGAACTTCTCGAGGTACCCTATCATATGCCTTTTCTAAGTCAATGAACACCAAATGCAGATCCTTATGAGAGTCTCTTTACTTCTCCATAAGTTGCCGAAGAAGGTGAATGGCTTCAGTTGTTGAGCGACCAGGCATAAAACCGAATTGATTCTCTGAAATCTTCACAGTCCTTTGAAGTCTTTGCTCAATCACTCGCTCTCATAGTTTCATGGTGTGACTCATAAGTTTAATCCCTCGATAGTTGGCACATTCTTGTGCATCACCTTTATTCTTAAATAAGGGGATAAGAGTACTCTTCCTCCGACTCGTTGGCATCTTGTTGTTTCTCCAAATCATGTTGAAGAAACTTGTTAACCACTCGACACCTCTCTCTCCCAAACTTCTCCAAGCCTCGATCGGTATGCCACCTGACCCTATTACTCTTTTCCGTCCCATCTCCCTCAAAGCTTCTTTAACTTCTGTTATTTGGATCCTTCTCACAAAATCACGATTTACCATACAATCTGGTATGGACAAATCACCGATATCTTGCGTTTTGTTCCCGTTGAATAGAGTATCAAAGTATGACCTCCACCTCTCTTTTATCTCTTTATCGTCCATTAATATCCTCTGATCGACATCCTTCACACACTTAACTTTTGCAATATCTTGAGTCCTGCGATCAAGAAGACAAACAAGTCTATAAATATCTAGTTCTCTTTCCTTAGAGTCCAACTTTTCATACAACTCCTTGTTCATTTTCCCTTGTGCTTCCCTTACGACTTTCTTTGCTTGTCTTTTAGCCTCCTTGTATGCTTCTATGTTCTCATCACTCCAACTTGTCCTCAACTTTTTGTAGCAATCTCTTTTGTTCCTTATGGCTTGTTTCACCTCATCATTCCACCGAGATGTGTCCTTTTTAGGTGGCAGACATCCTTTAGATTCTCCAAGTACCTCCTTTGCCACTTTGTTAATGGTCAACTCCATTGATAACCACACATCATCCACATGTGTTTCATTATCAATACGACATACATCTTCACCGACCATTTTGTGTGTAAAGCTTTGTTGAAGATGTCCCTCAAGCCTCCACCACTTTATCTTTGGCTCCACTTGTTGTTTAAAATGTCAAAAATTATTTCAATATCTGTCAAAAATTAAAAAGTGTATTTTCCATTAGCTTGGAAAATAAACAACTTAGATTTCATTTGTAAAAAATCTATTTTTAAATTCAAATTGAAATTTTGATATAATGGCATTAATTACTAATAAGAAAATTTAGATGTATGTAAACATACTCTGAAGATATAAAAGTTCAAAACTCTGTGATGCAATATTATTAATTATACACCCACCATTCACGTTTCTATATGTAGTTAGTTTGTAACATTTTTTTGTATGTTTGAATTTGTGAGAACAAATACTATAATTGTCTCATTTTAAACGTCTTATTTTGGTTTGACACAATTATTAATAAACTAATTGTAAAAGTTAAAATTTTGATTGAGATTTGAGTAAAATTAAACGAAATATTGTAGATCACATATTTATTTTCAAATAAGAAAACGTGACACTTATTTTGATATAGTTTCATAAAAGGAAAATAAGAAAGGTAAAATAGGAGAGATTTATCTATGGGAAACGGAAAAAAAATAAATAAGTATGTGGAGATGTGTTCATCTTTGTGGTATTTTTGGTAGGATTTGAATCAGAAAAGATATTGGTTTGTAAAAACACCAGTCGAAGCATATATACATAAGTTTTGGTAAGGATTGTTTGAATCCAGAAAAACTTTGTTATTGTTTTAATTTTGTTGTTTATTTGAATACAACAAAATAATGCACTCGGCGGAAAAACAAATTTGAAACTTGGATTTTGGTTTTAATTGCCAGCTCATCCGCCCGTTAGAAAAGTAATGGATACAACGGTCAGATTTCTGTAATTCACACATATGACCGTTGAAGCCTCCCCACTTTCTTTCTTGGCAATCTGTGTATATATATGTATGCATAATCCTCCCATTCTTTCCATCTCTACTCTTTCCGCTCATTCACAAGAAATAAACTCTCTTAGACGATGGGTCTGCGAGAAGTCAACGAATCGAATTCCTCTGGGACTACTACTCACAAGGCATTCCTCTTCTGCAACTACGTCCTGCTTGGTTCAGCCTCCAGTTGCATCTTCCTCACTCTCTCCCTCCGCCTCTTCCCGTCCCTCACCGGGTTCTTCATCATCCTCCTCCACGCCTTAACCATCGGCGGCGCCGTCCTCGGCTGTGCCTCCGTCTCCTCACACGACACCGCCGCCAAACTCTATGGCACTCGCATGGCGGCTTCTGTCCTCACCGCCATCTTCCAGGGCTCCGTCTTTATCCTCATCTTCACGCGCACGGGAGACTTCCTCGGAAACCTCAAGTCGTACGTGAGGGAGGAAGACGGCGCCGTGATTCTGAGGCTGGCCGGTGGGCTCTCCGCTCTCATCTTCTGCCTGGAGTGGGTGGCTCTGACGCTGGCTTTCATCTTGAAGTACAAGGCCGCCGTGGAAAGCGGCAGTGGGGCTCCGATGAGGAGCTCTAAGATTGTTCACGATGAGGAGGAGCTCAAGAACTGGCCGTGGCCATTCCAAGTCTAATCGTGAAAAAAGCAAGTTACATCTATTTATCATATATATTCGATTAATGTATCCATTCTTTTGTTTTTCTTTGAGAGCTAGAGTTTGATATGTGAATGGGTTTTGGTTTGTTTGTTAAATCATTCAAATATTCTATTCTATGATCAATCACTTTATGTCTGCATGTATGTTCATGTGATCGGATGGAATGAAACCAGTCTGCTGCATCCGGCCTTTTTGTGTTGATCCTGTAAGGCTGTTTTGAGGAATGCAAACTTGAAATGAGAAAAACAATCAAACACTTCAACCATGTCAACTGTGATCCGTTTTAACAGCCTAGCTAAATAAATATGTCTGCTTTTATTTATTTCTCGTCAATGTGATTTTTGGTTTCTTAGTCCATCCATTTCTTAAAAGAAAATGGGAATAATAGGTTTGAGCGCCATGATGGGGTCCTCACAATGTGTATGAAAGCATAAATGCTGTAATCATGCCAATCAATTAACGGGATAATGATGATGACAAAACCCCATTCAATTTATATATTGTATTATCTATATTGTTTTCTCGCATACTTTTCTCGATAACCGAATTTACAAATGTGTTGTAAATTTAGTCGTTGAAATAATAAAAATGGTTGAAATTTCATGTTTTAAGTGTAAACTATCGATCGTCTGTCATGTCACCCGTATGAGTTGACACATGTGCATCTGAAGTGAAATTAAAAACTCAAATAAGTCATTGAACATGTTTGAATTACTCAATTAACCCCTCTCAAGTCTCAACTCTAACGAATGTTAACATTGGAATAAATAAATAAAAATGATAAAGTGTATATATATATGGTAACAATATTTAATTTTTTGGTTAATTCAAAATATGAATATAAAAATATAACAAAGATGATAACATATAATTTTTTGGTAACTATATTTTGACATCAAATTTAATTTTGTATTTCTAGTTTATTTATATTTTGTTTTTAATATGTAATATTCTATTAATAATTCAAAAACTGCTCAAAGTAGGATGAAAATAGAGAAAATTCTAAAATATGTTTTCTTTCTAAACAAGACTTCTTTAATCCTATTTATGGATGCAAATAAGGACACTGATTTGAGAATATTTTTTATGTTTTGTTCCTATTTAGGGATTTTTTTTTTCTTTAGAGTTTTAGTTTTGTTCTTAGATTTTTATTTTATATTTCAATAAATTTTTTAATCTATATCTATTCATTTCATTTTGTATTAGATATAAAAATCATATTTATACTTTCAGTTTTATAAAATATTTCCGATTTGAACTTTTATATTTTTTATTCTATAACTTTTTTTAAGTATTATAAATTTCTATTTTATATTTCATATGTATTATTTCAAAACCTACACAATGATAAAATAAAACCACATAAAATATAACATTAAATAAAAAATAAATCTTAAATAAAATATCAATGTAAAAAGTTTGATACCAAGTATGAATATAAAGTTTAAAATTAAAGTTATGTTTCATATTTATATTTTTTATTTTTGATATCTATAAACTTGTTTTTTTATTGTTTCTATTTTTTAAATTGGATTTAATAGAATTTTGACACTTTGTAATAGTGTTGAGGTTTATTACTCCAAGTCCAAAGGCCCAACACGTTCTTTTGGTTATCGTTGGAATGTTAAGGTTAAGGTGAAGGAGATATGAGTAATGATCAACAAGAAGATAAAAACAATCAACTATATTGAAGTGAATATGTTGATTACACGTAAATGGCTGAACGGGAGATCCAATCGGTCTGCGTCAAATGCTAACACAAGAGCTAGAGAAGTATGTTACTTGTGAGTACAAATTGCTAACCCTTTACAATGAAATAAATGATGTTATTTATACTATGGATAAGTAGGTGGGGGTGACGTGGCCGATTCTGAGAGGATGACCCCCAACCATAAAATCCCTTCGGTTGATCCTCCATGGCTCTTCTTGGCTTAGTAAATGGCCCAAGTAGGGCGTTTAGGTCATTTGGTAGTGGTCGTTCGGCATGTACCGTGCGACCTTTCCCGTGCGTGCTCCCTATATTCAAGGACTTATTTGACCCGTTCATTTCTAGGTCATTGGTTTACCGGGTGATGTGGCGGGTGACCGGGTGTTCACTCATAAAATATGTATTTGAATTTTTTTTGACAGTTCAGGGTGCGTATTGGACCTTTTTTAGTTCATGGACTACGCTGAGCAAACATGACCAATACAGGGACTTATTTGACCTTTTAGCCTAGATGCAAATGAGCGGATAATGTAGATTCATTCGCTTACTAATTTGACTTTGGGTTTTTTTCTCTAATATGACTAAATTGTTGAAAGCTATTTTCAAAAAAAGTTATTCTCTCCGTTCCATAAAATTCTTCTCGATTCAACTTTGATCGTGGTATAATAAAGTGAGAATAAAATGAAAATGTACGGTTGTGATTGAATGAGAAAAAAGTAAATGAATGCTAACCACACAAACTTTTCAAAAATGAAAATTAGAAGAATATTTTGAGAAAAAACAAAAAAACAAGTGGGAAGAATTTTATGAAGGGATTTATTCTCTCCGTTCCATAAAAAACAAGGAGTACATTTTTTCATATGAATAACTAATAAGATAATATATTTATTCCTCTATTAGGGGTATTTTACATTTGATTATTCCAGGAATAATCACATGGCATACATGGAAGGCATATGCAAACTTGACTTGGGGAGAAATACATTCTTTCTCGACTGAATCCCTAATGTTCCAAATCAAGATACATGCCCAACAATGGTCACTATGGTGGATCTTCAGAATTGTGTTTATCAGAAAGGGAAAGAAGGATCAGAAGAAAACAGGAGAATAGTTTGGCTGAGCAAAAGTCTGCCTTTTTCCATACTAGATGATACGTATAAAAGTAACTGCCTGCTGCTGCCTAATAATTAGCTATATTAGGAAAATAACAAAACTAAATCACAAATGCTAAAGGTACCCCAAAATGTACCCCATGTTTACCCCCACTCTCTAATGTGTGGTCATAAATGGGGCAATTCATTTAAGTGGGACACCACTTAAATGAATTGACCCATTTATGACCACACATTAGGAGTTGGGGTAAAAATGAGGTACATTTTGAGGTACTCCTAGCAAAACTCAAACTAAATAACAGGACCAACATAAATAAAAGAAAGTACTTAAAGAATCCACATAGACTTGATCGTTGAAGTATTTGGGATTACACCTACCCCGGCGAACACTCTTCCGAACCTCTGTGTGCTCATCAATACCTCCCCTTGTAGCTCGGACCTTGTCCCCGAGGTACAGACTTGGAAATTGGCACCGTATGAGCTCCACGTCTTCCCAAGTTGCATCATCTGCAGGGAGCCCTTGCCATTGGATCAGCACTTGGTCAGAGGGAGCATGGCCACGGACGACGGTGCGGAAGTCCAGCACGCGTTCTGGGTGAGGTGAGGAAATGTCTTCGTTAACAATATCAGGCAATGTTGGAAAAACGGGATTGCTGTCAATCTGTTTGCCAAGAAGAGAAACATGAAATACAGTATGAATCTTGGCTCTCGGGGACAAATCCAGCCGGTAAGCAACCTGCCCAATGCGAGCAGTAACACGAAAAGGACCATAAAACAAAGCACTCAGCTTGTGGGATGCCCGCCGGTAGAGAGAATGTCACGCCCCGAACCTAGCCGGACACGTCAACAACCCGCCGTACAGTACGAATAGTCAAACGCAGTCCAACTCATCCATACTATACAAGGCGTCTTGAATACCATTCACACGTAGTACATCCATAAACAAACATAATGTAAAACATTTATTTAAAGCAGCGGAAACATTTAATATAAGAGTCTATGCCACACTTTGGCAAACATGGGCATACAAGCCCCCAAATAATTATTCAAAAAATAATATCCATGAGCATTGTTATAATTGGTTTGAAACAGAAACGGAGGAAGCACGAACCACGTCTTCTCTCCTAGAATCTCCTCGAAGCCACAGACAATGGTAGCAAGCTCAGCTCCTACCTGAAACAGTGAGGTGACCTCCCCCATGAAGGGGAGGTCAGTACTTGGAAGCATTTGACAAGTACAATGACAATTATACTAAGTATAATCAATGTTTCAATTTCAAAGACCCTCAATCTAGGGTGATATTATATTATAGGCCATAACTCTCGGTTACCCCTTTTATAAAAATGTACTTACTTTATATAAAGTCAAGTAATCGGCCCGTGGGCACATATTCATTTAGAATTCATCATTTTAATTCCCCGTGACTACTAGTCACGCCAACCCCATAGGGTTCCCTTGAGTCCTGATTATATAGCAAGGGCTCGGCCCAACTACATTTCTATACAACCCTTCAACTCAATTTAACACATTAAAAATATATGGCAAGGGCTCGGCCCAACTACGTTTCCATACCAACCACAACTTCGTGACAAGGGCTCGGCCCAACTACGTTTCCACGAAGATCACAAATACATGACAAGGGCTCGGCCCAACTACGTTTCCGTGCTAATCACATTACATGGCAAGGGCTCGACCCAACTACATTTCCATGCAATTCTAGAGTCCGACTCTAATTCATTTCCATAGTCCAATTCTCAAGCAAATCCTATGCCTAGAATCAATCCACTTGGGTAGCCTTTAGGCTTACCCCTAACACACCTTAGTGTTCATACAATTCAACCTTAAAGTATCTTTTAAGACTACTTAAGGCAAATCAATTCACCATCATATCCCTTAGGATTAATTCCATTATATTATTCTCCCGACTAGTATTTTAATACTAGTAGGTTAGTCTTAGAACATATCAAGTTCTTAATTCAAATTGACATTTCTTTTCAATTGATTTTCCAATCCAAATATATTTTGATCCCAATATCAAAATATCACTTTTATCCATTCATGAATTTCATACATGAAGTAAAAGTATATTTTATCACAATATTTACATAGTTAATTCCATTATCATGTCATTCCTTTCATGCCACATAATAATCATACACAATTTATTCTAAATTTGTATATCATGCTTCTTTTACTCATATCAATAGTATTTTCATTTAAGCATTGTTACTCATTAATAACCATGAAAATCACTTTTAATACCTTAGGAAATCTTCTGAAATTAACTCACAAATTATAAGCAATATAATCAGCCATCCTCACCTTGTGATGTGCTACAATAGTTGCCTTTGTTAAGCCCCTCGATCAATCCCCGTTCTAGGCCGATTGAAAGTGATATTTCTGGACAGCAGTCAAAAGCCGGGCGGCTTTCACAAAAGCCGGGCGGCTTTCGTAGTCTGCAACTACGAGCAGCTCCTTTGGAGTGGCGGTTTCCGGCGATTTCGACTCCTATCGATTCAACAACTCTTCTAAGTTACTTGCCACTACTTAATAACAATATTCTACACTTTTAAACGTGTAGAATCTCATTTTTAATCCACCACATGATTTCTTAAAAATCATACCAAAAATAAGACTAGCTAAAGAAATGGTTGAGTTCTTACCTTTCTTCTAGGTAGTTTCTTCTTGGATTTCCTTCCCTTTAGCCTCCTCAAGCTTCTTGTTGGTGACAACTTTTCTCTAGAGCTCCACTCTCTCTCCCTTGGTCGTGTGGATGAGAAATGAAAGGGGGAGGCACCTTACTCAATCAAATAGCAAATAATGCTAAGGCATGGCCCTAAAAGAGTGTGCATGTACCTCCAATCACTCCCTCAATCACATGTCCGGCCAAGCCATGCTTTGTTGTCTCATTCCCATTATTTAGGGTGTACAACACATGTAGGAAAAGTCCCAATTGGATGTAGGAAGTTTCCCCCGATTATTATTGCTATTTCTGGCAGGTTGGGTCAAAATAGCACTTGAGTTGTCCAGACATTTTTCCCAACATTGGTTGGCATTTTATTGGGCTTCTATAATTATTATGATGATGAAGAGCACTTTGTCACGGTGCGTCAAAATAATTTTCAATACTAACACTTATACGTAATATAGCGTAGTAGAGTTCGTATCCACACGAAAAGGAATAATTCTCTTTTTATGAAACTTAGTAAATAAAGGGGGGATTTGGATTGAGTGATTTAATTTAATTAAGAACTAAGATGAACAACCTATATGTGTTTAATTCAAAGATAAAAAAGACTTGACATTGCTACTTTCCACTTGTTGATATATTTTAGTCGATCATTGTTATATCTATAACTTATTCCCTCTCGAATACTCAATCGGGGAGTATATCCACTTCATCGAGGATAGTTATTAACAACGACCGTTCATTAATAACTCTTACTATTAATCAAATATAGAACAACGCATTATACTGATTTAATAGTAGCATTTAATCTTTCTAAATCCTTGATGAAATCGATTGAGATTGATAACCTCAACACAACGGTTTCGGTTTAACCAACAAAATTAATCCCTCTTAAGTTTATTAACCACGATCGTGCATTAATAAACCAAAGTTACTTACTTGTGAAACCATCAACGATTAACCATCGGTTCGTTGATCGTTTCTAGTAATAATTAATATATGAAATAAAACTAGTTGATCCTTTAAGTAATGTTCAAAATATTAATATGAAATATGAGTAGAAATTAATTAATATTCAAGGAAGAATATTATTAAAGAAGATGAATCCTACTATAATTAATATCAAGATGTTAACTAATTGTCATCTTAGCAACACTCCCCAATATTAATAGAGGAAGAAAATACTACTCTCGTTCTCCTATTTTGCCTAGGTGCCCTTTCGGGTTTTCATCCTAGCTTCCCACATTTTTCTGTTTTAATCCTCACAACTCACTCTTATTTTTGCTTTATTTTTGCTTAAGTTGCCCTTTCGGGTTTTCAACTTAACAAGCTTTTATAATTTTTTTTTTGTTTTTTTTACAAGAATAAAGAGTATGAATGTGAGTATTCCATAAAACTCTCCCCCAAGCTAATCAAAGCACTGTCCCTAGTGCTTGTGTCTGAGATGAATGTTTTTTTTGTTAATTTCTGGGAGGTTTTGTTGGTGATTCGTGGATGTGGAGATGAAAAGGGTGAAGAGGTGATGAATGAAATGGGTTTAATTGGTGGATGGATGTAGGAGATATGAAGCTTTTGACTTTTGGAAATGGAGGAAATTTGGGGTGTGGTTCGAATGGGAGGAAAAGAAAATGGGTAAGAAAAGCTGTCCGCCCGCACCCTTATCGGGCTTTTGCCCGACCGCCCGACCGGGTATAGTGACTGACCCGGTCGGGCGTAAGCTGTTCACCCGAGGCAGAGAGTTTTTTGCTGGGTTGCCCGGCCGGGTATAGGGGTCTACCCGGTCGGGCGGTTGATTTATTCTTTGTTCTTCATCTGCCTCGCCCGGGCGGTTGGCCAGGTGCTGTGTTTTAAGAGGTAACCCGACCGGGTAGGGTTTTATACCCGACCGGGTTCAATCCCAGGTCATTTGTTTTTGAAATGTGTAAAAATAAAATAAAACAAGTAAACGTACCTTGCATGGGTTGCCTCCCAAGAAGCGCCTTATTTAACGTCGCGGCACGACGCCATCATTGTGTCCAGTCATTCAAACTTGGATCATGATAGTTTATCTTTTTCACACTTTCACTCCTAGGACGTTCATAAGAGTGCTCAACTTCTCGACTCTTCAATTTGGGAATCTTTCCAGGATCAAATATCTAGATTGTCATTGATTCATGCGGTGGGAGGAATGGGAAGAAATTATCGTTTACTATGGTCAATGAAAAGTTTTTCGATCCCCCAATTTTGAATAGGATTTCAGAAATGTCATTGTCCTTTCCAAGTTTATGAGTTTCCCTAAAAAAATTTAGAATTGATGGTGGTACCTCAAAAGATGACAAGGATAGATATTTAACCTTGAAGCTCAGATTATCCTCTTCTTTGACCAGTTGGAGCTCCGTGTCTTTTTCTTCCTCTACTTCTTCTGGATTCTGGATCTCCTTTTGCATTTCCTCTTCATTTGTCAATGTGATTGCAAAAGTTTGCTATCTAGGATCACATTCTAGTTGAGAAGGAGGTTTTTCTGAATCCCTTGCTTCAAGCCTACTCACGACTCCGGCTATTTGACTCATTTGAGTTTCCAAATTCAAAATGCTAGACTTGGTCTCATTTTGGAATTGCACCATGTTTTGTTGCATGGCGGTCACACTGTTAGTAAGAGCCCAAACCATGTCCTCCGTGGACATATTAGAGTTGGAGAATGGATCATACCTCATGTGAGGTACATCATCAATTTGTGCAAAGTATTCTTCTTGGAGCTCTGGGCAGAAGTCCGTATGATGCCTGTGAGACATGCAAATGTTGCATGTCTTGGCATCCTGAGCTTTTGAGTTAAAGATACATTCCTTTATTAGAGAAGTCAAGAAGGAAATTTGACTCTCTAAGGATGAAGTGTTGGTATCCATATACTCATAACTCATGTAAGCTCAGAAAATAGAAGAGCAAGAATTTATATATATATATATATATATATATATATTTATGAGATAAAATAAAAAGAAAAGTAATTGTCTTTCCCCGGCAACGGCGCCAAATTTGACGAGCACTTTGTCACGGTGCGTCAAAATAATTTTCAATACTAACACTTATACGTAGTATAGCGTAGTAGAGTTCGTATCCACAGGGAAAAGAATAATTCTCTTTTTATGAAACTTAGTAAATAAAGGGGGGATTTGGATTGAGTGATTTAATTTAATTAAGAACTAAGATGAACAGCCTATATGTGTTTAATTCAAAGATAAAAAAGACTTGACATTGCTACTTTCCACTTGTTGATATATTTTAGTCGATCATTGTTATATCTATAACTTATTCCCTCTCGAATACTCAATCGGGGAGTATGTCCACTTCATCGAGGGTAGTTATTAACAACGACCGTTCATTAATAACCCTTACTATTAATCAAATATAGAACAACGCCTTATACCGATTTAATAGTAGCATTTAATCTTTCTAACTCCTTGATGAAATCAATTGAGATTGATAACCTCAACACAACGGTTTCGATTTAACCAACAAAATTAAACCCTCTTAAGTTTATTAACCACGACCGTGCATTAATAAACCGAAGTTACTTACTTGTGAAACCATCAACGATTAACCATCGGTTCGTTGATCGTTTCTAGTAATGATTAATATATGAAACAAAACTAGTTGATCCTTTAAGTAATGTTCAAAATATTAATATGAAATATGATTAGGAATTAATTAATATTCAAGGAAGAATATTATTAAAGAAGATGAATCCTACTATAATTAATATCAAGATGTTAACTAATTGTCATCTTAGCAACACTCCCCAACATTAATATAGAGGAAGAAAATACTACTATAACTAATGTCAAGATGTTAGCTAATTGTCATCTTAGCAACACTCCCCAACATTAATATAGAGATAGTATTAAGGAAAGAACTAATAATTAATATTCAAGGGAAGAAGTTTAAGAAAATAACTCACAACTTTAATAATCAACAAGCTTCAAGAGCAACACCAAGAAATGGAAGTTTAGCTCCTCATTTGGAGACTAAACATAGCTAGAAAAATATAAAGAAATGCTATTCTAAACTGAGCTTAGGAGTATGGAAGAAGAGATTGTTTTTAGAGAAGAAAAAGAGTGCTATTTATAGGTGTTTTTCAACACCTTTGACCGGGTACCCGACCGGGTCAAGTACTTACCCGACCGGGTCCGGTCAAAATCAGATAATCCGCCACGTTCTGGTGATCTTCGCACGTCGTTTTGTCCCGGGTCACATCTGACCCGACCGGGTCAAGTAGGGGACCCGACCGGGTCCAGTGACTTTCTTGGCAATTTCGTCTGTTAAATCATACCCGACCGGGTGAGGGTTTCTACCCGATCGGGTTTTACTCCTGGGCAGTCAAATTTCTTGTTTTCTTCTCTTCAAAGTCTTCCTTTCCAACACCACAAATCCTAACTACGCTTTACAACTTATAAAAAAAGGCTAAAATACAATTACAACTGAAACCACATAAATGTTTACAAACTACATACAACGTCAAACAATCAACATAAATCAAACATAAAAACATATAATTATGCACTACTAATTAGTGTGCATCAGATGACCCAACTCAATATTTGGTATCCCACTCTCAATATTATGGACCCGATAAATAATTTAATTAATCATCCATTAATTAAATATATCATTCTTTTACACGAAATCATTCGCTAGAAAAATTCAAATACATACTGAATTTCAAATTCAAGTACATCTGGGTGCGGTGTCACAAGTTCACCCCCCCCCCCCCTAACGGGAATTTCGTCCCCGAAATTCACAATTGCTTATTCAAACAGAAATGCATATTGTTCCTTCATCAAGGCTTCAGTTTCCCAAGTTTCCTCTTCAACCCGGTCACTCTTCCAAAGGATTTTAACCATTGGAACTTTCTTGCTCCTTAGCTTCTTTACTTGCCTACCAAGTACTCTTACCGGTTGCACAGCATAGTTCAAGTCCTCCCGTATTTTCACGGGTGGTTTCTCTCATACATGAGATGAATCCGGAATATACTTCTTAAGCATAGACACATGGAATACATTATGTATTTTCTCCAATTCCGGAGTCAACTGTAATCGGTATGCTACGGTCCCAATTCTTTCAAGAATCACAAATGGCCCTATGTAGCGTGGGTTAAGTTTCCCTCGGCTCTGAAATCGGATGATTCCTTTCCAAGGTGAAACCTTCAAAAATACCTCATCTCCAACCTTAAACTTTAAGGCTCTTCGGCGCTTATCGGCATAGCTCTTCTGTCTATCCTGTGCCGCCTTAAGTCTCTCAGGGATCATCTTTATCTTTGATTTGGTGATCTCCATCAATTCCGTGCTCTCGAGTTTGGCCATGCCAACCTCGTCCTAACACAAAGGTGTACGACACCTCCTCCCATATAATGCCTCGTATGGAGGCATGCCTATACTCGCCTGATAACTGTTGTTATAGGCAAACTCCACAAGTGCCAAATGTTTGTCCCAACTCCCTTGGAACTCCAATGCACAAGCTCTCAGCATATCCTCTAATATCTGTATAACCCGCTCGGATTGCCCATCCGTTTGTGGATGAAAAGTTGTACTGAATTTCAACTTTGTCCCCATAGATTCTTGGAACTTCGGCCAAAATCATTATGTGAATCGCGGATCTCTATCAGATACAATGGTTATCAGAACCCCGTGTAGCCTCACGATCTCATCCACATACAACTTGGCTAACCTCTCCAGTGCATAGGTGGTGTTGATAGGTAGAAAATGTGCACTCTTCATAAGCCTATCAACCACAACCCATACGGCATCATAGTTCTTAACCGTTCGTGGCAGACCCACCACGAAATCCATAGTCACGTGTTCCCACTTCCATTCAGGAATGGAAAGTGGCTGTAATAACCCCGTTGGATGCTGATTGTAACACCCCGGCCCCTGTAAACCCCGAGGTAGTTACTTCTGACCTCTAGTACTGTCCTCACAAACCGCCACTAGCCTTTTCCGCGCACTTTGTCCTCACACGTGCGCGCCCTGAGAAACTTCCCAGGGGGTCACCCATCCCAAGACTACTCTCGTGCAAGCACGCTTAACTTTGGAGTTCTTAGGTGATGAGCTCCCTTAAAAGGAGATGCACCTCTGTTAGTATGAGTAGTACTATTAATCCGTTTAAATTAAATCTCAAGTATTACACTGATGTTCTGCCTTAACTTACTGACAAGTAAGACGCCTACTGATGTACTCGGCTATTTCCCTCTTCATACCAGACCACCAGTAACTTTCTTTCAAATCACGGTACATTTTCGTGCCTCCCGGATGCATGGCATACGCCGATGAATGAGCCTCCTCTAAGATGGACTTTCGGAGCCCATCATCCGACGGTACACACACTCGGTCACGAAATAATAAGAGACCATCGTCTCTTTCACTGAAATCCTCAACCGGTCCCGCTAGCATGCGTTCACGGACCTTCATAAGCTCTTCATCAGTTTCTTGACCCTTCTTGATTTCATCAAGTAATGTTGGTCTCACCTCGAATCTAGCTAACAAGGCACCATCGCTAGATACCTCCAATTGGACTCTCAATGCCCTCAAACTAGTCAACAATGCCCGAGACGAATTCTTTCGGCTCAAGGCATCCGCTACCACGTTGGCTTTACTGGGGTGGTACTTGATAACTAGATGGTAGTCTTTTATCAACTCCATCCAGCGTCTCTGTCTCATGTTTAACTCTTTCTGAGTAAACACGTACCTCAGGCTTTTGTGGTCAGTGTATATATGGCATGTTTCCCCGTAGAGATAATGTCTCCAAATCTTTAATGCAAATACCACTGCCCCCAGCTCTAAGTCATGAGTAGGATAATTTACCTCATGCTTCTTCAACTATCGTGAAGCATAGGCGATCACCCTCCCATTCTGCATCAAGACACATCCAAGCCCTTGGATGCTCGCGTCGCTGTAGACATCGTACCCCATACCCTATTTGGGTAATGCAAGTACCGGTGCCTCGGTCAATCTTTTCTTCAATTCAATGAATCCCTTCTCGCATTGATCATCCCATACAAACTTAGCCCCCTTTCGAGTGAGCTTCGTCAATGGTGATGCCAAAACAGAGATTTTCTCCACGAATTTTCTATAGTATCCTGCCAATCCGAGGAAACTACGTATTTCCTTGACGTTCTTTGGCCTCTCCCATTCGGTAATGGCTTCAATCTTCTTGTTATCAACCGCTATCCCTGATCCCGAAACTACATGCCTGAGAAAGCCAATCTCCTTTAGCCAAAATTCACATTTGGAAAACATGGCATAGAGTTGCTTCTCCCGTAGCGTCTCAAGAACAAGTACCAAGTGTTCCTCATGCTCTTCTTCATTCTTTGAGTAAATCAAGATGTCATCTATGAACACAATCACAAACCGGTCCAAGTATTTATGAAATACTCGGTTCATCAAGTCCATAAATGTCGTCGGGGCGTTGGTTAGCCCGAACGACATAACTAGGAACTCGAAATGACCATACCTTGTGCGGAATGCACTCTTCGGTATGTCATCCTCCTTTATCTTCAGTTGGTGGTACCCCGACCTCAAGTCAATCTTCGAAAACACTGTCGCTCCTCGGAGCTGATCAAACAAATCATCAATCCTAGGCAAAGGATACCAATTCTTGATTGTGACCTTGTTCAGTTGACGATAGTCAATGCACATTTGAAGTGTTCCATCTTTCTTTTTCACGAAAAGGACCGGTGCTCCCCATGGAGAGTGACTCGGCCTTATGAAACCGTTATCCAATAGCTCTTGCAATTGGGTTTTCAACTCATTAAGTTCAGCGGGTGCCATTCTGTATGGCGGTACAGAGATTGGTTTGGTGTCGGGTTCAACCTCGATCACGAACTCAATCTCCCTATCGGGTGGAAGTCCCGGCAAGTCTTTTGGGAAGACATCCGGATACTTGCACACTACTCTCACATCATTGATGTCTACCTCTTCTTTGGTTTTGTCCACCACATATGCTAGATATGCGTGGCATCCCTTTCTCATCATATTCCTCGCCCTCACGGCGGATATGATACAACTGTTTGATTTGCCTCTATCTCCCTCGAAGCGTAAGGTCAACCCTTCACCGCTTTCGAGTTCAAGAATCTTTGTGTAGCAATCGACCCTAGCATGACGATAGAGTATATATCTAGAGAGAAGTGAGAGCTAGAGAGAGAAGTGCAAGTAAATGCTTCAATAGAATGATTTTGTAACCCCTACAACTACCTCCAGAGGAAGTATTTATAGGAAAAATACGGGCTGGGCTCCCAAGCCTTGGGCTTGGGGGGCCCATTTACAATTGGACCGCCATTGGGCCGAATACAATGTGTGTAGAAATGATTAAGTGTAAGATCTGGTTCTGTGAGGCTTCTGTGGCCGACGAGGGTCTGGCCGACGAGGACACGGCCGATGAGGGTACGGCCGACGAGGACACCCTGGTTCCCTGGCTTCGGGATCATATTCTGAGTTGGTCCCTCTTTGGCCGATGGGGGTCCTCTGGCCGATGAGGGCACCACTCAGTGGCTTGTACTTTCTGTTCTTCTGAGTATGTGGGTCCTGGGACCTAGACCCATATACTCCATCAGGAGTCCCCCACTCTCTAAGCTGAGATGCAGACGAAGTGAAGGAGAGTAGATTTTCTGTGCTTGATGTTCTTGGCCGATGCGGGACCACGTTGGCCGTTCTCTGTTAGCGTTGGTGGCCATGTTCTGAGTTTGGCCGTTACCTGTCCCTTGATGTGGACGGCGAAGGCTGTTATTCCTTTGGTGCACTTGTTCGTGGATGATGAGTGTTCTGGTATGAGTGGCCGATGAAGGTAGCGTCTATCCTTGATCGTTGATGGTTGAACTTTCCTTTTGGGCTGATGAGGCCGTTGGGGTTGCGTCTTGTTTTGAGGACGACAGGCGTCCATTGTTCTGGATGGGCGGTGAGGGTGTTGTGCACTCCTTTTGGCCGTTGTCGATGGCACCATGTGCCTTTGGGGGACAAGACGTCTTATTGCCCAAGTTTTTGGGGACGATGACATTGTCTGGCCGGAGATGGAGTTGTGAGGACCTTGGAGCCGTTGTGGTACATGGATGATGGTGATCTAGGTACGTTAGCCTCCTGTTCTTTGATTCCTGGCTGAGAGTGGTGTTTGGTCTCAAAGCCGATAAGTGTCCTGTGATCTCAAGCTTCGCTGCGGCCGATGGTGCACCACGATGTTATTGGCGTTGTGGTGCATGTCTGGTGTTGTAGTTGTGGACTTGGTATATTTTTATTTTCTCATTTTGCCTGCTATTCTTGAGGCCGGTGTAGTCCCCCAGTCCCCCACTGCTTCAGGCCGAAGAGTGAGTGAGGGGTGAAGGAGTAGCTTGAAACCTAGGCCGAAATGGGATCCTCATACTGCCCTTGGATCCAACCCTTTGGCGATTTCCTGACCAAGGTAAGCCTGTGAAAGAACCCTTGGACGCAGGTCGCTTTCAAAGGGTTATCATCAAGGGTTTAGTGCGAGGACCTCATGGCCATTGGGTTCCTTTCCTTTGGGGTATTGTGGCCATTGTAAAGCCTTCCTTTGCATAATATGCGTGGCCGCTTAGATGGCCGATACGGGTGCAGCGTGGATGGCCGTTAGCTGTGTTGGCCGTCGTGGGTGCTATTTTCCCTTCCTTGCTCCGTAGGGCCTGCTTCGCTGGTGGGCCGCTGATCTGTGGAGGGGGTTTGGCCTATTGATAGAATGGTGGCATCCCATTGGTGGCCGTTGGTATGGCCACTAAGGTGATGCCACGTGTAGTTACCGTTGGGAGGGGGGCTATAAATACCCTCCCCGTTCCGAGGAGGGTCTTCATTTGCATTCTGAGTAATGAAGTGCTGCCCAAATTTTTTTAGAGAGATAAAGCCTTTGCTGAGTGTTCTTCACCTTCTTCAAAACTTCAAGGTCAGTTCCTTAATCCTTTCTTCTATTTCTTACATATTTTGCTCTCTCTAGGCTTTGATCCAGTGTTAGTCACAAAAACACCTTAGATCTAAAGTAGATCCTTTTAGTGCCTTAGGAGTTGTTAAGATGAAATCCTTGAACGAGGAGTATTACCCGTATGACGACGAGCCCTCCGTCAAGTCTCTTGACTATGATGTGATCGAGGAGTGCGCCGAGGAGATTGAACACTTGAGCCCGTATAAGTCCGTAGATAATGCGGACGAGGAGGACGAGGACGAAAGGTCCGCCTCGTCATCTGAGGGTGAGGATGCAGGGGTCTCCCACGTAGTGGACGGGGCGTCCGCCTCCACTGCCATTCTGTGCCCGAAGCCGGTGTCTGCTATGAAGGGGGTACCGCGGCCGAAGAGGAACAGGCGGCCGAAGAAGGGGCCAGGTTTCTCTTACCTGGACCTTACCAACATTTTCCTTATCAAGCCGGAGAGCAGTGCTGCTGATTATTTGGTCGCACAGATGTATGTGGGGCCGTTTGGGAGGGTCAGGGCGCCTAGTCTGATGGACCACGTGTTCAATCCGCCGCCAGGATACTTCGGGGTGTATCCGATGAGCTTCGCCAAGGGGCTAAGGTTTCCCCTTCACCCCTTCATCCAGGAATATTTGGACATGGTGGGGCTCCCTCCGGCCTTGCTGACCCCTAACAACTACTCGCTGATGGTGGGGTTCCTCCTCCGTTGTGCTGAATGAGGTTACAGGCCGACAACGGCCCTATTCATGAACCTTTATCAGATTGGCCGAGGGAGCCATAAGAAATGCGCCTGCTACGCCACTCTGCAACAGCTACCGAAGAAAAGGACCTTCACGGACTTGCCTTCATCCATACATGGTTGGAAGAGCAAATTCGTCTTCGTGTCCCTGGGCGAGGGTGGCACTGAGTTCCCCTCCGTCGGCCATGATGGGAGGTTTAACCTTCATGACCCGCCGAAGAGTTCGATCCTAGACGCTCAGGTGGAGGCATTCCTGGAGGGGGGACGAGGAGTGTGAAGGATTACATTACGGAGTACAAGATGACCGCTATCGGCTTCTTTAGATACTTCGTATATGGTGATAAGGAAGATGACGTCCAACTGTGGCTGAAGATGACCACTACCTTCGTGGAGGCCGACGGCCCTGATCTGGGCGTCCCTGCAGAAGCTGATGGTAATACCTCCTACGGCGTCCTCATTTTACTTTGTTCTTTTACTTTGCTAACTTGTTTCTTTGTTGTGTAGATTTTGTAATGGATCGCCGATCCGTGATGAACAAGGCCGCTGCGAAGGCAGAGGCGGAGTTGGCCGCTAAGGAGGCCGCGGCGAAGGCAGCTGTCGCTGGCGATGCGACGAAGAGGCCACCCCCCCCCCCCCCCCCCCCCCACCGAAGAAAAAGCGGTCGGCGGAGGATTCTCAGAGGAAGCTGACGGAGGCCGCCATGTAACCCGCCAAGAAGTCCAAGAAGGCTTCATCTTCTGCCGTTGCCGATGAGGTCGGCGCACTAACCGTCCCGATTGTGGACGAGGGGGGATCTAGTGCTGCAGCTGCCCTCGTGGACCTTACCTCTGGTCTTTCCGGGGATGTTTCTCAACCCCTTTCCCTTGCTGAGGATTCCCGGTCGAAGCGGTCCGGCAAGGAGGTGGCTTCGGCCACTTATAAGCTGGAGGTTGAATACCACAAGGACGGGGGGGTTCAACGATGGCGTTGACGGCCACAACGTGCTTTCTCAGGCCATTCCGGCCAAGGACCGGGTTTATCTTGACAAGCTTGGCGATGTCAAGATATACGATGGTGGGATGGACCTTGTCGTCCAGGTAATTTCTTTCGTCCTTAGCCTTGTTGTTTTCCTTTGATATTTTTGCAAGCTTGTCTGATAGTATTTTGTGTTGCAGGGTGCCTTCATGCTCATGGAGAGCAACAAAAGGCAGCAACGGGAGATTGCCCGCTTGAAGGAATTTGAGCAGAAGGCAGCCTCGGCCGATGAGGCCATGAGCTGATTAGGGAGGCTGCGAGAGGACTTTGCAGCCTTGCAAAAGAGGGCCGATGAGGCCGATGCGGCCAAGAAAGAGGCCCTGGCCAAACTGGCCGAAGAGAGGGATGCCCGTGAGGCTGACCGTCGGCGAGTCGATGAGGCCGAGAGGGCCAAGGCCGAAGCCAAGGCTGCGGCGGTGAAGGTCGCTGATGGTGCAGTGGAGAAGTTCTTGGCCGAAGGTTGGAAGGCCGACGAGCACTTGCCCTGGTGCTATGAGGTCGTAGCGGCCAAGCTCGAAGACTAGGGGCAAAACTCCCCTGCCGGCCAAGAATATTTTGAACGCGAAATGTCCGTATATTACAACATGGGCCAACATCGGATGCAGAGGCTCCTTTATCGGCGGCTGACTCGCGCTTTCAAAGCCCTGAACTACACTAGGGGTTGGGCCAGGCGGAACCTACAGCTCCCCAAGCTGATGAAGGATCCGGGGGAGCAGATCAAACTTCCTCTATGCGATAGGCAGGCTCCAATTGATAGTTCCGGCCTCGGCGAACCGGACTATGGTGAAGATGATGTCCTGGCCGACACCGCTACTTCCGCCGTAGAGACCGACTTGGATGCAGAGACCGAGGATGGTGTCGAGCTTGTCGTTGACCAGGACGTTGCGGGTCACGCTGCCGAGGAGGCCTGATCGTCCGTAACTGACTCTGCTTTGTAATTAGTAATTTTTGTTTCATCGTCTGAATGTAATGGCCGAAGCGCCCTCCCATGTAATGACTTTTATGAATGAACTGTTTCCGACCTTATTCTGTCTTCTCGTCGTCTTGTTTTCCCTTTGCTTTTGTTCTCCGTTTTTTTTTAAATTTGTCTAAGTGTTTTGGAATTGGGACTTAGGTAATTTTCTAAGTATCAAGGCATCAAGTGAGTGGGTGTTCGCGTCGTCTTGGTGTTACGCCCCCTTTCACTTTTGCCCGATACTTTGGAAAATTTCCTAAGTGTTGAACCAAATACCACACGTGGTGATCTCGTCGGCCCGGCGTTCTTTTCGGCCCTTTTGTCCCCATGCCCCCTGCCTAAAGAGGAGGTCACATCTTGTTTCTGTAGTCGTAGCCGGTAAGGGTGTGCGTGTGATGGCCGAAGCGTTCCGCTATGGAACTTGATCTATTGATTGAATGGATTGCTTGTGTCCCTTTCGGATTGCAATGCTTTTGTTTATTGCCTTTGTTATTCCAACTTTGGAATTTGTCCAAGTGTCAAACCAAAACATAGACAACTACCGCCTTTTGCTGGGGCCGAGGCGGGCACCTGCAAGTGTTTGAGTGACCGCTTCGTCTTGAGGTTGTCCCCTCGTTATTCGATACTTTGGAGATTTTTCTAAGTGTTGGGCCATGTAGTTTTCTTCTGCGTAGTACCGTTGTCGGTCAATTTAGGCGGTGTGGCCGATGAAGGTACCCGGGTTTTTGTCTCTTCCTTGGCATTAGCTTTCCTCAAGAAATTCTCTAAGTGTTTGAAGTTCACTTAGGCAAGTTTCTTCAGAAATTTTCGAAGTGTTTGAAAACCACTTAGACAACTTTCTTCTCAAATTTTCAGCTTAAACAACCGCCTAGGTTTTAGTGCCTTTAACGGCCGGCAAGAATGTTGTGGCTGGTAAGGGTTGCCACCAGTGTGTTCAACTTTCCCGCGGGTGTTTTAGTGCCCGCTTCGTCCTGGGCCTCCTCTCCGGTGTTTAACTCCAGGATTGTGTCAAGTGTCAAGCTAGGGTTCTTGGCTTTCATGCCAAGTGTTGGAACTTCAGTTGGTCATGGCCGATGAAGGTTACCACCCTCGTTTCACCCAACCACTTTGGTTAGGATTTTATGGGTGCATGCTCTGTCCTTGACACTTTCCTCGTAGCGGGTGGCCGCTTCGTCCGCGTTGCATGTTGGTGGTATTACCTTTGTATTCAACTGATATGTACTTAGCCAAATGTGTGGCCTTGATTCGTGGGGATTCATTTTTACTGCTCGAGGCCGGCAAGTGCGCAAGGTCCTCGGCTTCCCTCTTTTTTTTTGTTCCCTATTTCGGGGAGTGTCCTTCTTTCAGGCTTCGGTAAAAGGGGTCGATAGTCCTCCGGCCGGTTTGGACTTCGTTTATAACGTCCATGATCTCAGGGGGGTCCCGTCGCCTAATTATGACGCGGGCTAGACTTTTGGTTGGTTTCCAACTGCTGTCGTTGCCCAACCCTGAGTTTGGGGATTTTGTCACCTCGGCCATGATTTCAGGCCTGTCGTCCTGCGATCAGGCGCGTGGACGACGCGGTGAACTTCCCATTTCAAGACGTGGGCCGTTTGCGGGCCCATCGTCCTGGGGACGTCGTCGGCCCTGCCTGAGCGTTTCGCTCTGAGGGGCCGGTACGACGTGCTCTTTCAGCTGGGCCTAGACCTTTCGCTGATACAAAATACAATGGAGCATACCTGAGCCTTTCGCTCTAAGGCTGCAGTTGCGAAGCGCCACATCGGTCATGCCTGAGCCTTTCGCTCTTAGGTGGCCGATGAGGGCGCCCGTTAATGTTTTACTCAATTCCCAAGCAATCAAAGGAAACCTGATTCTTATTCATAAGTGGCTCAAGGCCGAGGGTGGTGTTCAATCAATAACCCGTCAAGGGGTGAGGGCTTCGCCGGGTGCACCTCCTTCGGATTATTGATAAAACTTCACCAGATGGTGTACATTCCACGTTCGTGGTACATTGGTCCCACTTGGGCGTTTAAGCTTGTAGGTGCCGGGTTTTACCATGACACTGACGATGTAGGGACCTTCATACTTCAAGGCTAGCTTGCCCCTTCCGTCGGCTAACTTGCTTCCCTTCGGCGGAGGACGTAGTCCCCCACTTGGAATTCCCGGGAACGTACCTTGGCGTCATAGTATGATTTCACTTGACGCCGGTAGTTCTCCGCTCAGGTGAATGCTTGTTCGCGTCTCTCTTCAGCCAGGTGGAGGTCGATCCTCATGTTCTCCTCGTTGACCTCAGGGTCGTACTGCTCCACCCATCGGCTGGGAATGGAGACTTCCGTGGGTGCTTTTGCTTCAAAGCCATAGCATAGGGCAAAAGGTGTCTCACCTGTTGCCCTCCTTGGCGTAGTACGATAGCACCATAGGATGTTGGGGAGCTCGTCGACCCAACTTCCGTCTGCGTCCTGGAGCCTCTTCTCCAGCCCCTCCATTATAGTTCTGTTGGCGTTCTCAACCTGCCCGTTGCCCTGAGGATAGGCAACGGAGGAGAAACGGTGCTTTATTCCCCATTCTCGAAGGAGCTCCTGGAAGGGCGCCGCTTCAAACTGGGTGCCATTGTCGGATATGATCTCTTGGGGGACGCCAAAGCGGGTGAGAATGTTCTTGTGGACGAACTTCTGGCACCTAGCCCCCGTGATGCTGGCCAAGGGTTCCGCTTCGACCCATTTGGTGAAATAGTCGACTGTGACGATGATATAGCGGTTGTTGCCAGCAGCTCTGGGTAGTGGGCCGACCAGGTCAATTCCCCACCTTGAAAATGGGATGGCAGTGCTGACGGGGGCGTAATTGACGGCTGGCCGACCAAGGGCCTTCTGGAGCACCTGGCACGTGGTACATTTCCTGGCAAGATCTGCACAATCCCGTGCCATCGTCGGCCAGAAATAGCCCTGGACGACGAGACGCCGGGACATACTGAAAGGGCACTGGTGTGAGGAGCAAACACCGCAGTGAACTTCCTCCATGGCCACTCCGGCCTCGTCCTGGTGCAGGCATCGGAGGAGAGTACCATTGTAGGATCGTTTGTAGAGCTTGCCATCTTCAATAGTGTAGCTTGGGGCCCTGAGCTTGGCAAGCTTGGCCCTCTCCTCGTCTTGGGGTAGCTCCCCCGTGGTGATTAAGGTGGTGATGTCAGAAATTCAGCCCTTCGGCTGCTGTTGGATGCACAAGATGGGGTTGGCATGGATGGTGGACATGCTCAGCTCCTCGATCTTGGCTAACTTGGAGATGTGCTCCGGAGTATCCGAGCTGAGCTTGGAGAGGATGTCGGCCTCGGTGTTCTCGGCCCTTGGGATCTGTGTGATCTCGTAGGTTTCGAACGCCTTCAGCAACTCCTCTGCTGCGTGTTTGTATTGCTTCATATGGCCTTCCTTTGCTTCATACGTACCCTCAACCTGGCCCACTACCAGCTTGGAGTCGCACCTGATTCTGATGTGCTTGGCTCTGAGGCCAGCGGCAAGTCTGAGGCCGCTGAGGAGGGCCTCATACTCGGCTTCATTGTTAGATACCCTGAAGCTGAAGCGGATGACATAGTAAGCTCTGAATCCTTCAGGGGATATGAGGACGACGCCGCCCCCGCATGATTTCACGGCCGACGAGCCGTCGGTGAAGAGGATCCATGTGTCATCTGGCTCTGGCCCGGGGGTGGTAGCGGTTGTCTCCCTTGCCGTGCATTCGGTGACGAAGTCGGCCAAGGCTTGTCCTTTGATAGATGGACTTGGCTTGATCTCAATTTGAAATTGGCTGAGGAAGATCGCCCATTTCACCATCCTCGAGGAGCTAGTGGGGCTCCTCATGAGTGCACCAAGGGGCTGTTGGGTCAGTACGTGGACGGCGTGGGCCTGGAAGTAGTGCCCCAGCTTTTTCACCGTGTGGACGATGGCTAGCACCGTCTTCTCGATGGGGGAGTACCTAAGCTCGGCCTCCCTGAGTGTTTTGCTAATGTAAAATATGGCCTTCTGCACCCCTTCGTCCTCGCGGATGAGCACGGAACTGATGGCCGATGTGCTCACTCCAAGTACAAGTAGAGGGTTTCGCCGGCTTTGGTCTTAGAGAGCACTGGTGGGGACGAAAGGTACCTCTTCAGCTCTTCAAATGCTTCCTGGCACTCCGTCGTCCATTTGAAGCTGTTTGCTTTGCGCATGATCTGGAAGAAAGGGAGTGACCTCTCGGCTGACTTGGAGAGGAAGCAGCTCAGGGCCGCCAGGCGCCCCATCAGCCGTTGTACCTCTTTGACGTTGCGGGGCCGCTCCATGTTGATGATAGCCTGTATCTTCTCCGGGTTTATTTCAATGCCTCTCCGGCTGACCATGTAGCCGAGGAACTTGCCGCCTTGGACGCCAAAGGCACACTTCTTGGGGTTGAGGCGGAGTTTGAACTCCTTCATGATTTCAAAAATTTCCTGGAGGTCGTCAGCATGTGTGGTGGCTTGCTTGCTTTTGACAATCATGTCATCGACGTATGCCTTCATCGTCCGGCCGAGGACTGCTCTGAAGATCTTAGCCACCATCCTGGTATAGGTGGCGCCGGAGTTTTTGAGCCCGAAGGCCATGACGAGGTAGCAAAAAATTCCCTCCGGGGTCATGAAGGTTGTCTTCTCAGCGTCATCTTCATGCATGAAAATCTGGTGGTACCCTCTGAAGGCGTCGAGGAACGACATCAACTCGCATCCCGCCGTCTCGTCCACCAATTGATCAATGTTGGGGAGAGGGAACGGGTCCATGGGGCACGCCTTGTTCAGGTCAGTGTAATCAACACACATTCTGAATGTCGGCGGTTTTTGGGCGAGGACGACGTTGGCTAGCCTGTCGGTGGATAAGTAGCGTCGCTTCTGCTTGACAGGCGCGGAGGCCGGATCGACGGTCAGCCGGTGGGTGATCACCTTCCGGCTGATGCCTGGCATGTCGTCCGGGCCCCATGTGAAGATAACGGCGTATGACCGTAGGACGAGGAGGATGGCGTCCCGCTGGTCCTGTGGGAGTTGCTTCCCGGTTTTGAGGACCCGCTCCGGCCGGGAGGTATCCAGGGGGACCTCCTCGACCTCTTCGGCCGGTTCAACATGCGGTCTTTCCTCTTCCTTGGCAACGGTTGCCGTGATGGTGTCTATTTTCTGCCCTTCCCTCTCGGTCGGCCTCGTTAGCTTGAGATAGCATGCCCTGGCTATCCTCTGGTTTCCTCTAGCGTAGCCGATGCCGCCGCTGGTGGGGAACTTCAGGCACAAGTGTTTCATGGAGATGATGGCCTCCAGGTCCTCCAGTGCTGGTCACCCCCAAATCAGGTTGTGGGCGCCCTGAAGGTTGACCACCATGAACTCCATGTCAATTTTGGCGCGGTGGGAGCCGTCGCCGACCTCCACGGGGAGGACTATCGTGCCTTCGGCGTCGATAGAGTCCCCGGTGAAGCCGGACAACGGTGTCTTGATCGGCTTCACCAGAGCCTTGTCCAGCTTTAGCTGCTTGAAGGTGTCCAGGTACATCACGTTGACGGAGCTCCCCGTATCGATGTAGTGCGGTGGATGATGGAGTCACCAATCTCACACCGGATGACGAGGGCGTCCCTGTGTGATTCCGTACCCGGAGACATATCCTTATCGGTGAAGGTGATCGCCTCCGTTCGCTGCTTCTTCGGCTGGGGGGACGTGGGACACCTCCCCAATGTAAAGGGATTGGGCCCATTTCTTCCTCTGGGTGACGGAGTCCCCCCCGGTATTCCCACCTACGATGAGGTGAATATGGTTCTTCTTTGGCAGAGGCTCCTCAAAATCTTCATCGTCGCTGAGCCTACCGATCTCCCGCTTCTTCGTAGAGGGTTCGCCCCTAGGTTTGCCGGTGTTTACCCACGTATTTTTGCACGGACCACCTTTAACAAATTGGGAGAGTTCCCCCTGACGAATAAGGCGCTCGATGGCTTTCTTCAATGTGATGCAGTCGCCGGTGTTGTGTGAGGAGTTCTTGTGAAATCGGCAGTATGTGCCGCCTTTCTGGATGGCAAGGACCTCCTCCGCCGGCCGAGGAGCTTGTTCAATGAGGCCATGCTTCTCAGCATAGTCGAGGATGGTGTTGACCGGGTGGGTGAGGTGCTCTTGGGGGTCTGATCGGCCGTCGTAGGTCTTGATGGCGTTTCCCCTGTACTTCTCCGGGATGGGGGGCGAGAGCACCCTGTTAGTGAAAGGGGTCCTGGTCCTGACCTGGATGACGGGGTCACCTCGCCCTTCGGCGCACTCCCTCTCAAGGGCGCTGACCTTGTTCATGAGAGCGTTGAGGCCAGGATCGTTGGAGGCGCCGGCCGTGGGGATGTTTGTCGATTGTCTGGCCTCCATCTGGGCCAGCCTCCTTTCCAGCTGGGCGATGACCTCGTCCTGAGGATCGCTGGCGGCTGCAGTTAGGGGTGTTCATTAACCGGGTCGGACCGTAATTTAGACCTGAACCGGACCGGATTGGACCGGACCGGACCGGATTGGACCGGACCGGACCGGATTGGACCGTACTGGACCGGTATTAACCGGTCCGGGTTTCGGTCTTTAGGATATTAAGATTCCGGGTTCCGGTCCGGTCCGAGTCAAACCCGGAAAAATACCGGTCCGGACCGGTTGCCCGTTAAATTACTTTTCCCAAAAAAATACTTCCATTTTTAGGGCTTGTAACCGGTGGCCCATTTATTTTACGAACTAAATTAGGGAAACCCAAGATACGTTCATAGTATCTTTTTAAAGTTAATAGCAGTATGTTTTGTTTTTTGCAAAATTGAATTTTCATTATTTGATTTGCTATGATTTGAAACTACAATGCAGTTTGTTTTTTATGCAGTACCTTTTCTATAGGTGTGCAATATGGTATATGGTTGTAGTTTATATATTTTTATGATATTCTCACGTCTGTTTCTTAATTTGCAACCTACAAGAATTCAAGACTACAAATATAGTCTGCTAGTTTGTAGTGTGCACTAGGGAAGTAATAAACATTTATATGCTAATATTGATATATGATTAAACATTTACTACGCATATTTGCTCATCAGATTATTTTTCGAAATAAAAGTCTGTGTTATTATTTTTTTGTTTAAAAAACCGGGTTAATTAGGGTCAAAACCGGACCGGACCGAAAAATTCCGGTCTGGGTCGGTCTGGACCGGTTAGTAATAGGTCCGGTCTTCGGTTCTCATAAATTTAAGATTCCGGTTCCGGTCCGGTCCGGTCCGGTTTTGGACCGGTGAACACCCCTAGCTGCAGCGGTGCCCTGCTGGTTCTTCATGCGCTCCTCGTGGGCCGCGTTGATCTGGTGGCGCACGTCGTCCTCGTGCAACTTTCCCTTGCCCTTGTCCAGGCGGGGCTGGTCCGCTGTCCGGGACACAGACCCCAAGCTTTCTCTTGGTGAGCCAGGCCGACGCTCACCAATCCGTCCTGCCATCCTCTCCGAAACCGGACGATGGTGGGTGTCACCTAGCCTGTTGAAGGCAGGGGCTTTTCCACGCGCTGGGGTCTGCCCAGGCTGAAGAGGGGAAGCGAGGTGGGAGTGGGACGACGCCGTGTCCTGGGCTATCACCCCCTCATTGTTGCCTAACCTGGTGGCCAACGGTTGGGGCTGAGGTGGGGTGACGTTCCCCCCAGTCCTTGGCAAGAGTGCGCTGAGGACGGTGGGGTTCTGGGCCAAGCTGGCGATGATGACCGACAATGCGGCCTGAACCTGTGGATCCACAGACGGGGAAGCCCCGACCATAGGCCGGGCCGGGGCGTGGTCTGTCTTCTCTGCATGCTTCTTGTCCAGGCCGATGCAGGCATCGGGGGGCACCGTCGTTGAGTTGGTTGCGTAGGTTCGTCGTGAGGTTGATGGCCTCCTGGAAGACGTCCCCTCCTCCGACCTGGTCGGCCGTGGCGTCCTCCTCACGCTCTCTGGTCTCCTGATCCTCAGGGATGGACTTGCTGACGAGGTTGCGGTTTGACTTGGTTCTTCCCATGATCAGTGGTTAGTTGTGCTTGGTAGCGACGAAGGGTGCTAACTTGATTGTTCTAGCTCTCAATGAAAGCACCAAATGATAGAGTATATATCTAGAGAGAAGTGAGAGCTAGAGAAAGAAGTGCAAGTAAATGCTTCAATAGAATGATTTTGCAACCCCTACAACTACCTCCAGAGGAAGTATTTATAGGAAAAATACGGGCTAGGCTCTCAAGCCTTGGGCTTGGGGGGGGGCATTTACAATTGGACCGCCATTGGGCCGAATACAATGTGTGTAGAAATGATTAAGTGTAAGATCTGGTTCTGTGAGGCTTCTGTGGCCGACGAGGGTCTTGCCGACGAGGACACGACCGATGAGGGCATGACCGACGAGGACACCCTGGTTCCCTGGTTTCGGGATCATATTCTGAGTTGGTCCCTCTTTGGCCGACGGGGGTCCTCTGGCCGACGAGGGCACCGCTCAGTGGCTTGTACTTTCTGTTCTTCTGAGTATGTGGGTCCTGGGACCTAGACCCATATACTCCATCACATGATGTTTCTCAAGCCAATCCATTCCGAGGATTGCATCAAACTCGATCATACTCAGCGGTACAAAATCACACGTCAAGCTTTGGCCCTCCACTTCCACCTCACACGATGGATAGTGGTTATCTCTTTCGACGTCATCCCCTAGAGGTGTGGACACCAATAGGGTTTGAGTCATCGGTAAAAGCGGTTCATTGAATCCCCCGGCGAACGCCTCACTCACAAATGATCGTTGTGCCCCGGTATCAATAAGGATTCTTGCATCTCTCCCGTTTATCTTTAGTGTTCCTACATTCATAAGCAATGTAAGACACACTTTCTAAGTATAGACTCGTTTCTTTGGTTAAAGAGTGTACTAACTATGGTTTAGATGATAGTCGTTCAACGTCCCATCACAACCCGCTCGGTTCTCACCCTCACGAACCGACCTAGTGCACCAACAGGGAAAGCCGACCGCTTTTCACAAAAGCTGGCCGGTTTTCGTCCAGTTCCGGACTTGTCGTTACGTAAGCCAACCGGTTTCTACGAAAGTCGGTCGGGTTTTGGCTGCGAGAAAGTTGTCGTAAATAAATCGCAAAAGCCGGTCGGTTTTCGTCACCGTCGTTTTATTCATAAAATAGGTTTCAAAAGCCGGTCGGTTTCTACGAAACCCGGCCGGGTTTTAGCAGTGCAGGAATTTCCCAGGTCCAACGAATGCCGGGCGGCTTTCACAGAAGTCGGCCGGCTTTTGGCGCCGCAGTTTATCCCGGATTATATATTACAAATGCCGGTCGGTTTCTGTGAAAGCCGGCCGGTTTTCATCTGCGAGAAAAATCGAGATTTAATATTTACGAAAGTCGGCCGGTCTTTGGTGAAAGCCGGACGGTATCCGTCGTCGTAGAATTTTTATATCAACTCCAGACGAAAGCCGGGCGGCTTTCGTCCATACCGAGCGGCATTCGCCCAGGGCGAGGATTCTCCTCCCCTTTTTCTCTCCAAACCCGACCAAACTTGCCAGGGTTATATATTTACAAGTTCAACACTCCTATTGCTTACAATAGATTAAAACGTGAGTTTAAGGAATTGCCCGCAACGGAGTCCGGGTTAGCACGTGCGTTCGCCTCCGTCATCGCATAGACCCTAGCTTGGGTCTTGCCTTGGTTCACGGATGGCACGTTGCTTGTACTTGGCCCGCCATGCCCCGTGCTCCCATTAGGTGCTCCTGTCCGGTTCCTACTTGCCGTAGTCCCGCTACTAGGTCCTGCACTCATGGCTCGCCCCAGTTATGGGCAATTGCTCCTCAAATGTCCCGCCTCCCCGCATTGATAGCATCTCGGGGGATCACGACACTTCCCTGCGTGGTTCCTTTTGCATTTATTGCACCTTATAACGCCCGAGCCTTGCGACCTCGAGCTTTGCCTCCCTGGGCCTTGATTCCCCCGTGATGGTGGTGCGGGTGTTCTAAAAGATCCACCTCCCCCGTGGTTCCCCTTTTTGCTGGAACCTTGAGGGCCGGTGTTCTCCCGTTTTCTCTTCTTCGCCTCCTCGGCGTTTTTCAGCTTTCTTTCCTCCCATTCCTTCTCTCCTTTCAGGCCTTGCTCTACCGCTTGACTAAACGTCATGTTAGGCAATTGTGTTTCCCGCTCACGCACGTCTAAGTCCAAGGCATCCCAAAAGTGATTCACCATCCGGTTCTCATCACAAACATACTCTGGTATGAACTCCGCGAGCTCCCTGAACTTGTGCTCAAGTTGCCTCACGGTATACTTGCCTCCTTGGGTCAAGTTGGTGTATTCCCTCCTCTTCAAGTTCACCTCGAAGTCGGAGTAGTATTGGTTGAAGAATTCCTGCCGGAAATTCTCCTAAGTGACATTCTCACCATACTTCCCCTTGACTCCGTCCCACCACGTGGACGCCATCCCTTCTAGCAACCTCGTTGCTACTCTCATCTTCATGTTTGACGGCAGCTGCATATCAAGGGCCGCCTCATTGAATCTTTTAATCCACTCCGCCGCAACGGAGATATCTCCCGTTCCATCGAATGGCTTACACCCCAAGTCTCTCGCTTCTTTGAGGTACTTCGAGATCCTTATTATTGGGACCTCGGCACCCCGATCTACTCGGGACACTACGTGTCCCCTAGAACCCACATGGCTTCCTCTTCTTGAATCTCCTCCCAAAGCACGCCTTCCACGGCGCCTTTGGCGATCCTGTTGATATTGACGGAGTAGTTCCTCCATCCTTTCTAGAGCATCATCATCGTCGCTCTCATCATCATCGTCATCATCATATTTCCCATCGTATGGGGTCTCAACCGGCTCAGTTCCTGGTTGATACGTTGAATCCTTCTCGGATTCGTAAGACTCATTCACTGTATCAGCATGACCATCACTCACGGTCTGATCTTGGCCCCCACGGCCTTGTCCCCTGGACACTCTAGAAGCCCCTCTACTGCCTTGCACGGACCCTTCCGGTGCTCGGCCAGTCGGGTTCCTTCTAGTTACTTTCCCGGTACGTTCCATTTCTGAAAGAAATTGAGAATGAGTCATTAGACTCGTATCAAATGTCAATTGACGGATAGGCACTTAAAGACATCTTTTGGCTCAAATCACCGTCATACCAATTGTTAAGGGTACCATCTTAACAATTAGAGACATTGCAACTCAAGTACCAAAAGTTCTATAAGTACAAAACTTCATATGCTCATGGTTTTCAATTTCATTTTCAAAAAGAATTTTGAAGCTTCATTATGATGTTTACGGACTAAGGCTCTGATACCAATTAAATTGTCACGCCCCGGACCTAGCCGGACACGTCAACAACCCGCCGTACAATACGAATAGTCAACCGCAGTCCAACTCATCCATACTATACAAGACGTCTTGAATACCATTCACACGTAGTACATCCATAAACAAACATAATGTAAAACATTTATTTAAAGCAGCGGAAACATTTAATATAAGAGTCTATGCCACACTTTGCCAAACATGGGCATACAAGCCCCCAAATAATTATTCAAAAAATAATATCCATGAGCATTGTTATAATTGGTTTGAAACAGAAACGGAGGAAGCACGAACCACGTCTTCTCTCCTAGAATCTCCCCGAAGCCACAGGCAATGGTAGCAAGCTCAGCTCCTACCTGAAACTGTGAGGTGGCCTCCCCCGTGAAGGGGAGGTCAGTACTTGGAAGCATTTGACAAGTACAATGACAACTATACTAAGTATAATCAATGTTTCAATTTCAAAGACCCTCAATCTAGGGTGATATTATATTATAGGCCATAACCCTCGGTTACCCCTTTTATAAAAATGTACTTACTTTATATAAAGTCAAGTAATCGGCCCGTGGGCACATATTCATTTAGAATTCACCATTTTAATTCCCCATGACTACTAGTCACGCCAACCCCATAGGGTTCCCTTGAGTCCCGATTATATAGCAAGGGCTCGGCCCAACTACATTTCTATACAACCCTTCAACTCAATTTAACACATTAAAATTATATGGCAAGGGCTCGGCCCAACTACGTTTCCATACCAACCACAACTTCGTGACAAGGGCTCGGCTCAACTACGTTTCCACGAATATCACAAATACATGGCAAGGGCTCGGCCCAACTACGTTTCCGTGCTAATCACATTACATGGAAAGGGCTCGGTCCAACTACATTTCCATGCAATTCTAGAGTCCGACTCTAATTCATTTTCATAGTCCAATTCTCAAGCAAATCCTATGCCTAGAATCAATCCACTTGGGTAGCCTTTAGGCTTACCCCTAACACACCTTAGTGTTCATACAATTCAACCTTAAAGTATCTCTTAAGACTACTTAAGGCAAATCTATTCACCATCCTATCAAGTAGGATTAATTCCATTATATTATTCTCCCGACTAATATTTTAATACTAGTAGGTTAGTCTTAGAACATATCAAGTTCTTAATTCAAATTGACATTTCTTTTCAATTGATTTTCGAATCCAAATATATTTTGATCCCAATATCAAAATATCACTTTTATCCATTCATGAATTTCATACATGAAGTAAAAGTATATTTTATCACAATATTTACATAGTTGATTCCATTATCATGTCATTCCTTTCATGCCACATAATCATACACAATGTATTCTAAATTTGTATGTCATGCTTCTTTTACTCATATCAATAGTATTTTCATTTAAGCATTGTTACTCATTAATAACCCATGAAAATCACTTTTAATACCTTAGGAAATCTTATGAAATTAACTCACTAATTATAAGCAATATAGTCAGTCATCATCACCTTGTGATGTGCTACAATAGTTGCCTTTGTTAAGCCCCTCGATCAATCCCCGTTCTAGGCCGATGAAAGTGATATTTCTGGACAGCAGCCAAAAGCCGGGCGGCTTTCACAAAAGCCGGGCGGCTTTCGTAGTCTGCAACTACGAGCAGCTCCTTTGGAGTGGCGGTTTCCGGCGATTTCGACTCCTATCGATTCAACAACTCTTCTAAGTTACTTGCCACTACTTAATAACAATATTCTATACTTTTAAACGTGTAGAATCTCATTTTTAATCCACCATATGATTTCTTAAAAATCATACCAAAAATAATACTAGCTAAAGAAATGGTTGAGTTCTTACCTTTCTTCTAGCTAGTTTCTTCTTGGATTTCCTTCCCTTTAGCCTCCTCAAGCTTCTTGTTGGTGACAACTTTTCTCTAGAGCTCCACTCTCTCTCCCTTGGTCATATGGATGAGAAATGAAAGGGGGAGGCACCTTACTCAATCAAATAGGAAATAATGCTAAGACATGGCCCTAAATGAGTGTGCATGTACCTCCAATAACTCCCTCAATCACATGTCCGGCCAAGCCATGCTTTGTTGTCTCATTCCCATTATTTAGGGTGTACAACACATGTAGGAAAAGTCCCAATTGGGTGTAGGAAGTTTCCCCCGATTATTATTGCTATTTCTGGCAGGTTGGGTCAAAATAGCACTTGAGTTGTCCAGACATTTTTCCCAACTTTGGTTGGCATTTTATTGGGCTTCTATAATTATTATAATGATCCAACTCAATATTTGGTATCCCACTCTCAATATTATGGACCCGATAAATCATTTAATTAATCATCCATTAATTAAATATATCATTCTTTTACACGAAATCATTCACTAGAAAAATTCAAATACATACTGAATTTCAAATTCAAGTACATCCGTGTGCGGTGTCAGGGAGAATGTTGCCGGTATGGCTGGAGACGGAGATAAACCATATCACCCACATCAAAGGTAACGTCCTGGCGCCCCTGGTCAGCATATTTCTTCATGCGTTGAATAGATGCTGCAAGTGTAGTCTTCAACTGAGCCAGAATACTATCACGCCCCATAAGGCACTGATCAACCTCATTAACAGGTGTCGAGCCAGGTGAATAACGGTGTATGGTTGGTGGCATACGTCCGTAAAGAGCCTGAAACAGAGTCATACCTGTAGAGATGTGATACGTAGTATTATACCACAATTCTGCCCATGGCAGATATAAGACCCATTGTCGTGGCTGAGTATGAACGAAACACCGTAAGTACTTTTCCACACAATGATTGATCACCTCTGTTTGGCCATCGCTCTTGGGATGATCTGTAGTCGACATTTTGAGAGTTGTACCAAAAGCAATGAACAAGGCCTGCCAAAAATGACATGTGAACACAGGATCTCTGTCAGACACAATGGAATTGGGAATTCCGTGTAATTTAACCACTCCATCTACAAATGCAATAGCCACAGAACGGGCAGTGTATGGGTGACGTAACGGCAGGAAATGGGCATATTTGCTTAAACGGTCAACCACCACTAGAATCGTTGTCTTTCCATGAGATTGTGGGAGACCATCAATAAAATCCATTGAAAGATCATCCCACACTTGATCTGGTACAGGTAGGGGCTGGAGGAGTCCAGCCGGAGCTAAGGAAGAGGACTTGGTGCGTTGGCAAACGTCACAAGATGCAACAAAATCTTCCAACGAACGATACATGTGTGGCCAATAAAAAACTTATGAGAGGCGTTTAAAGGTACGGAGAACCCCAGAATGGCCACCCATAGGTGTGCTATGAAATTCAAATAAGAGTATCGGGATAAGGGTCGATTCCGGTGATAAAACAATGCGACCCTTGAACCGAACAAGGCTCTGATGATCTGTGAAATGAGATGTAGTAGTGTGCAAGATCTGGTCACGTAGGTGCTAGAAATACGGCAAACGGCTCTGCTCATCCTTAATTTGGACCCAAATATCAGCCTTAACACTGGATAAAGTGTTCAAGGTGGAAGTATTCTCTGGCGAACAACAGGAGAGTGCATCAGCCACTTGATTTGAGGTTCTTGGACGGTATTTGATTTCATAATCATAGCCCAAGAGCTTGACAACCCACTTTTGTTGGTCTGGAGTACCAACACGCTGCTCAAGCAAGTGTTTTAGGCTGCGTTGGTCTGTGAGTATGTAGAATTTACGACCAAGCAGATAAGACCTCTACAGTCTCACTGCATATAGGATAGCCAACATTTCCTTGGCATAAATGGACCAAGACAACTTAGCATGTCCTAGCGCCCGACTCATAAATGCAAGAGGTCTTCCGTTCTGTGATAGCACCGCCCCAATGTCGTGTCCTGATGCGTTTGTTTCGACATAGAAATCAGCATCAAAATCGGGCATAGCAAGGACCGGAGTTGTACTCATCGCAGTCTTGAGTCGTTCGAACGCGTCACTGGCAGCCGGAGACCATTGAAACTGCCCTTTTTTGAGTAAGTCTGTCAATGGTTTAGCAATAACGCCATAACCACAGACAAACCTGCGGTAATAACCGGTTAGTCCCAAAAATCCGTGAAGTTCTGTCACTGAGGTTGGTGTTTGCCAATTCAGCATTGGTTGAATCTTCTCGGGATCAGCTTTCACGCCTTCGACAGAAATGAGATGCCCCAAGTATATTAACTCTTTCAACCCGAATGCACACTTCGAAAATTTTACATAAAATTGTTGCTCCTGAAGAACTGAAAATGCTACACGCACATGTTCTAAATGAGCCTCCCAGGTAGGACTGTAAATGAGAATGTCATCAAAAAATACCAGGATAAATTTCCTTAAATAAGGCCGAAAACACTGTTCATAAGGGCTTGAAACGTCGAAGGAGCATTACATAGCCCGAATGACATGACACGATACTCATAATGTCTGTAGTGTGTGCGAAAGGCCGTTTTTAGTATGTCCTCAAGGCGCATCCGTACCTGGTGGTATCCCGATCGAAGGTCTAATCGGGTGAAGTAGGTTGCTCCCTGCAGCTCATCCATGGTATCTTCTATGGTGGGGATGGGGAATTGATCCTTGACCGTGAGGGTATTCAGCGCTCGATAATCGGTACAGAACCACCACGTCCCGTCCTTCTTCTTAACAAGCAAAACCGGGGATGAGTAGGGGTTGGTACTTTTTTTGTATTCCTTTGTTAAGCATCTCGGTCACCTGTCTTTCAATCTCATTCTTTTGGAAGTATGCATAGCGGTACAGTCGCACATTCACTGGTTCTGAGTCTTTCCTTAAAATAATTTGATGTTCTATCTCCCGGATATGAGGCAGCCCATTTGGTTCAGCAAAAATGTCTCCATATTGCTTGATCAAGGCCCACATCTTTGGGTCAATCTCTTCTGGTTTTGATGGGTCATCAACAAATAGCAAGTAACATGTGTCACTACTGTGCAAATCATCCATAGTCATGGAAAGCATTTGGGCGCTGCCGCGGGAAATTCCCTTCACTGTATGCTGTTTCCCAAGATGTGTAAAGGTCATAGTTTTCTGCTTCCAGTCATTCAATACCAGCCCTAACTGCTCCAACCATTGCATTCCTAAGACAACATCTATTCCGGCTAGAGGCAGTGCATAAAATGTGACTTCAAAGTGGGCCTCTTGAATCTGCAGTGGCACACACTCAATCCGCCCCTTACAACGAAGAGGCTCACCATTTGCGATTTTTACATTAAGTGTTGGCATAGGCGTGAATGGCAATTGCATGGATTCTGCCAGTTTATCTTGTATAAAGTTGTGAGTGGAGCCGTTGTCAACCAACACAACAATTTCTCGCTTCCCGACTCTAGCTTTAAGCCTCAACGTTTGGTGTGCAGACCAACCAGACACAGCATGAATTGAGATCTCCAGAGTGGTGTCAATTTCCCTGCTCCCTGTCTCTGTCGACTCCTCACCAGTTTCTTCCATCTCCAACAACATAAGTTTAGGTTGTTTGCAACGATGTCCCAGTACAAATTGCTCGTTGCACGAGAAACACAAGCCTAACGAGCGTCTGCGTTGCATCTCCTCCTAGGGAAGCCGTTTGATTGGTGGTGATGACTTATGTTGATCTAGGCGAGCAACCGGCAGAGGTCCAAGAATGCCACTTGTGTCTAACTGTTTGGAAGCAGCTGGTCGTACAGAAAGTGGGGTGCGGATGGCCAACCGCGATTTTTCTTCCACTAATCGTGCCAGCCCAAAAGCTTCTTCGAGAGTTCGGGGCCTTCGCGTCTTAACGCTAAGCCGAATTTCATCGCGCAGACCTCCTAGGAAGCATCCAATGAGAAAGGACTCAGGCAGGTCATCAATTTGATGAGATAGTTGTTCGAAAGTGTCCTGGTAAGCTGTGACAGTGGTGGTCTGTTTGAGTCGAGAGAGAGCTTCGGCTGGATCTGCAAACTCTGTTGGTCCAAAATGAGTACGGAGAGCCTTGACGAATTCATCCCACGCGACCGGTCCCCTCCGTTTTATCAACCAGCGAAACCATTGGAATGCTAGACCCTCCAAATTCATGGACACGAGTCTCACCTGTTGATCCGGAGCAACGTCATAGTATTTGAAGTACTGTTCTGCTTGATACAACCACCCGGAGGGATCCCCCTCACTGAACTTTGAGAATCTCGCCTTTGGATCATGAGGACGAGGGTTATTTCGTGTGTTCTCACCGGCAAAAGGGTTCTCCATATGTAAATCTGCATGTTCTCTTGCAATTCGGCCTGCTCGTAGCTCAGCGTTGATGGCTTGAAGAGTAACGGCTATTTGAGCAAACTGGTTGTCATGGCGCGCGATAGCTTCGTTCATATCTTGTCGGAACTCTGCATTGGATTTGCCACGGTTAACCTGGCTCTGATACCAATTGCTGGATCTTCAGAATTGTGTTTATCAGAAAGGGAAAGAAGGATCAGAAGAAAACAGGAGAATACTTTGGCTGAGCAAAAGTCTACCTTTTTCCATACTAGATGATACGTATAAATGGAATTACAGATCATGGGAAATAACTGCTGCTATGTGGACACCACTAAAAGTAACTGTCTGCTGCTGCCTAATAATTAGCTATACTAGGAAAATAACAAAACTAAATAACGGTACCAACATAAATAAAAGAAAGTAACGAGTCCTAATCCAGATGGGATTCCATCCAAGCACTTAAAGCATCCACATAGACTTGATCGTTGAAGTATTTGGGATTACGCCTACCCCGGCGAACACTCTTCCGAACCTCTGTGAGCTCATCACACTGAGTCTGAAGAAATGGAAGATCAATACAGACTTTTCTCTATTGGTGGAAGAAAAGATACTCTCCCCACAGCTTCAAAAATCAAGGATGGATATGAAGATAATCAAATGGATTCGACCTATAAATACATTACTCCCTCCGTCTCGAATTGAATTGCAAATTTTGACCGGCACAAGGATTAAGGAAAGATAATGAATGATGCTTGTTTTTTACACTTTTGCTCATCTTCCAAAAAGTAGATGCCTTTAAGTTGGAAAAAAGTAAAAGTAAGAGTAAATTCGTCACTTTACTCTTATTTACATACCTAAAATAGAAAGTGGAAAATAGGAAACTTAATGTTGATGCCTCTTTCTCACCTGATAGAGTGGCGGGTGGAGTTGTGATGCGAGATATGGAGGGAACCCTGATTTTTGGCCTGAGCTTTCTTCTTAGCGCGGAGTCTGCTCTCGAAGCAGAGATACGAGCTACTGCTTTTGCTACACGATGGGCGATAGACAGGGGATATACTGGTTTCGAAGTTGAATCTGATTGTCGCAACACTTTTTTATGAAGGAAGATGGAAAGGTTGTTTACAAGATATGCGGACAACAGCAGACTTAGCTGGGATAAGGTTTACACACACCTATCGTGAAGCCAACTGGACGGCACATCTCTTTGCTCAAGATATTTCTTATCTGACCAAAACAGCTTAATTTCCTATTTTTGCAATACTCAGGTTCCTCATTTAGCTAAGAAAGCACTTATTACTGATTCTTTGGGTTTGGCCTATTTTCGTAGACTTGATTAGCATCGTTTTTTGTTTTTAAATAATTGAATTAGCTTATTTTCTTTATGTTTTTTTATCAGGTCTAGCCCCCCAAAATTCTCAATTACTTTTTCACTCATGTACTTTGTGAAGGCATACCTTCATTGGAGAGATTTTGGTTTGGTCCCCCTCTTTTCATGTACTTTTTTGTCATTAATAAAATCCGGTAGATGTTCCCCGATAAAAAAATACTCCCTCCATCCCAAAATGATAGTCATGTATTTCCTTTTTGAGATGTCCCAAAATGATGGTCTTGTTTCCATTTTGGTAAAGAATTAAAAGTGGATCATCATTTATACTCCTTTTTAATGAACAGTAAAAGCAAAAGGATAAACAATACAATAAAGTCTTTCTATCACACTTTCTTAATCTTTGTGCCCAAAAGAAACAAGACTCATTGGAATGGAGGAATAATATATTTGAAAAAAATGATGTCACTATCAAATTCTCATATATATTTTAAAATTTTCCATCACCTATTTCCAAAATTCCAACTAATTTTGAAAAAAACGAAATAAACATTAACCTTTTCCTATGACTTTTCCAGCAGTGGCTAGGCAAGTGTGGGGGATGGGACAGAGATTTGAAAATAAACTATTAGTACAATAAGAAAAATACATCAGAAAAGATTAACCATATTTTTGGAAAATACTTGTCACTTTTAATACAGCCAAAACATCAATGCTTTTATACTTGTTCAGTTGTTCCAGTTAAATTTCTCTTTATTTTGGGTTAGAAACCAGAGCAGAAATGGACCTTGTGTAGTTGATGTTTCCTTCGTAATAATATAAATTAAGTTCCCATAGAGGGTTATTGTTTCAGGGTAGGAGAATAGTCTTTAATTTTTAACAACATACGTACATTACATACAAAATACAGGTGTTGATAAAAAACCCAAATTTATACTAGTATATCAATATCATTGATTCATTGTGATCTGTTTACCCTCAAAATATGAAAGACATGCAAAACTAAGCAGCCTCTTTGATTTACGTGTTGATCTAGCAGAGGTTCATTCTTGTTTATCGCATGGTTTTGGAGAAGTTTCTTTGGGATCACTAATAACAGCCTTGCTGGTTGAAGAAGGCGGAAGGCACCTTTTTGAAAAGAAGGCTGCAATGCTCTTTGTCCTCACAAAGCCAACTTTTTCTGCAAATATTATTGTGTGTATTTGTATCAGAACTGAAAATTTAGGGAATGGAAATAAGATGTCTAGGAATATTACTTTTTAAAGGTTCAGTTTTTTCTATGAAAATGAAAAAGCAATATGATTAGTTTTAACTCTTAGCTGCATTACAGGTGGCACTGTAGGAAATTATTTTAATGTAACATACAATCATCGAGTTATAATCACATACAAGAGCATAGTTAGGGGGTCATACTATGCACTAAATTTGAAAACAACATTGAATTTGGAAAATTTATCTCAAAGGATTCTTTATACCAGTAAGCCCATTTTATACTCCTGCTTACGCAACTAATCACATATTTACCTTTAGGAATGTAATGGAGACAAAGACTCACTATTTTTTGGTTTAAGAATATGATGGAATAAAACAAAATGGCTCACTAAACTGAGTGCACTTCTTTGTTATGAAAGAGTAGTCAATCCATGCACTTTCCGATGCGAAGTTCACTACGGGTCATCCAGAAACAATCTCTTTGTGCTTTAGAACAGGAGTAATACTACGGACATCCGACCCTCCCTTACCACACCATAGGTAGGAGCCTTTACGGCACTAAGGTAATGATGAAGGAGACTCGTTATATAATAAAATTAAAATATAAAAAAAATAAACAAAGTATATCAACATATATCTAGAATAAATTCATTGACTTGCTTATCTTCTATTTCCTTCCACATTGTCTTTCCTTCTACGTTTTCCTTCCTACTTTATTTTCCAGTATTCCCACGTCCAAAGGGGAAATGCAAGTATATCTCTAACACAACTATTAAAACACTCCACTACGAGAGAAATGCAATTCAAGATGAAAAGTCTCTAAGAATGAGGAAAAGGATGAAGAATACCTGGGGTTACTGGCAATCCAACTCTCGCAAGAATGTCCTTTTTGACCTGAGATGAGGATGTGAAATTAGCTCTTAGCAATCTTTAAATATTAGGGAAAAATTATTTAAATAACTTGAGCTTTGGAGGGGTGCGAGTTAAATATCACAAAATTCAATATATATATATATATAGAGAGAGAGAGAGAGAGATAGGAATGATCCTGTCCAGCAGCCCCCGGTCCAAACACCATCCGAACATCGCCATTTGGGGCACAATCCGGTGGAATTTTTTGATGAAATTTTTTGAGCATGTTTTTCATCAAGTCTAGTCATCAAGCATATATATAGGATCAAATGAAAACAACGCTTAATGTGAGAACACCACATTTACCCCAATATAATGCACAATGAGGCTCGTCCAATGCACATTTTCATGTTCGGCATAGTACTTACCAAAATGCCACTGTCATTATTTATATTGGTTTATTTGGAGCAAAGTCAAAATGTGCACCAGACGGACTCTATTGTGTATCACATTGGATTAATTGTGAGTGTTTTCAAGTTCTCACGTTAAGAACCGTGAGAACGTGAAAACCACATTTATATGTATATAAAACTACACAATTTTCAATAATTTATTCATCTGACTTCTCTATTGAATTTTAAACTGAGATTTGGTAGACATAGTCTACCCTTGATTGAGAACATGCTCACAAAATTTCATAAAAATATTCGAACCAGAAGCACCTCAAATGAAAGAAGCCTAAAACTTGTAAGTTTTAAGACTACCTTAGGAGAACACATATATGTGTGTGTGTATAAATATAATTGACGTTGTAAGGACCGCCCTCCATCCAAGCCCATTTGAGGGGCTTCCGGGTGGAATTTTTGAAATGAAATTTTGTGAAAATGTTTTACATGAAGTGTAGATTAACTTCACAAAATTTCAGCTTAAAATTAGATTGGCGAGTCAATCAAATGTGGAATTGAAAAACATTGTGCTATATATATATATATATATATATATATATATATATATATATATATATATATATATATATAGATATATATAGATCATATACAAAGTCTTCTTAATTTACAAAATGCAAATAGATCTCAGCCCTCTATTTTAGTTGATAGAACCGTAGCTTTCATCTTGATTATATTAGACAATTAAGGGCTTATTAGTCTTTTAGGTATATTTTATTTTTAGAAATAAAATCATGTCTGATTACGTTCAATTATTTCTCTCTTGCACGTTCATTCAGCCATATCTTTAGGATCAAAGCTTCACCGTTTAATTACGTAGATTCTGATTCTATTATTCCAAATACTATTTTAGTAAAAGCTTTCATAAAATATTAATTACAAAATGGTAAGTTTCTTTTACGTTTATGGTTAGCATTAATCTAGAGGTCTAGTCATTAAACTATTGCCAAAAATAACTAGAACTACCGGACACTTTTAATTTGTAAATTACTATAGTATCCCTTCTTACTAACCGTTCCATTTATAGTTGTCAATTTTGTTGTTATTCCATGTGTCGTCCACATCCCCTTATCATGCATCTCACACGGATGCCCTTTATTTAGTACAAACGGACGCACGAGATTAGTTTGTAGTTTGTATGGGAGGACTGGTTTGCATGTGATCTTGCCCATATATATATATATATATATATATATATATATATATATATATATATATATATATATAAAGCACAGTGTTTTTATATAATTTATTTAAATGTCTCCCCAATTGAATTTTAAGCTAAAATTTTGTGGAGATAATCTACACTTCAAGAGGAACATGCTCACAAAATTTCATCAAAAAATTACACCAGAAAGCCATAAAACAGGGTAAGTTAAGCACTTATCTAAAGTTTGGAGTATTTATATTACATGTGTAAGTTTGGAGTTTATAGCTTACACCCCTGCAAAGTTTATGATGTTTAATTATTTTTCCCTAAAAATTACAATAACTTATTGATCCCTCCATGTAATATAGACTATTATAACTAACCTGCCATCTATTATCTGAGAAATCTGCAATTTCACGCACTTTAATTCGCAGTTGGGTCTTTGCGATATGAGGAAACTTTAGTTGCAATGATTCAACAATCTTGTTTATGCCATGCGCGCATGATTTGATTATAGATACCTACCAAAAGCATCAGTTGGCAATTCGATTATTATTTATGTGGCAATAAGACATTTGCTTTAAACTGCATATGTTTTTTACAGTTGAGTTCCAGGGAGATGTTAAAAAACTTACAATTACAGGTAAATCTGATTCCTGCAGAGCTGACATGCCAACTTGTGAGGTAGCTATCTTGCTTCTGCTTGTGGGAGAAGCTTCTTGAACCTTTTCATCAATCTGATTATTTGCACATGATATCTGCAGAGATGGCTGACCTGGAAAGAAACACATCTTCAAAGCACTCAAACAAAGTTGTTCAAGCTTTTCAGTACCAGTGACATTATCATCAAACAACAGCAAATCTTTCTCGTGCTTGAAATTTATTATAAATAATGGCTGGTTTTTCTTGAGAGCATGCTCTGTCAAATTGTTTAGACACTTCTGCTGCCGAAGCACACCAATCTCTTCACCCTGCACTTCTGGGTTCAAACTTGGTGTAACTTTTATCTCGGACATGTCATCAGTTTCTGTTTTGTCA